GCAGTGGTTCTCAACCTTCCTCATGCCGCGACCCTTTAATACAGTTCCTCATGTTGTGGTGACACCCAACCATAAAGTTATTTTTGTTGCTACTTCATAACTGTAATTTTGCTACTGTTATGAATCGTAATGTAAATATCTGATATGCAGGATGTATTTTCATTGTTACAAATTGAACATAATTAAAGCATAGTGATTAATCACAAAAACAATATGTAATTATATATGTGTTTTCCGATGGTCTTAGGCGACCCCTGTGAAAGGGTCGTTCGACCCCCAAAGGGATCAAGAGCCACAGGTTGAGAACCGCTGCCCTAGAGGCTGGGCTGAGGAACAGCTGTGGGAGGGGAAGTTAAACCTGAATTTCAACAAGTAACCTTTTAGTGTAAACATAGCCCATGCAATATTTGGGACACACTTGTACTAAAAACTTTTGTTTATATAATTTCAAGAGAACAGGGTGCGCTGTATTTTTACTTGCTAAATCCAGTAACCCAGGGAGGAGTGTGTATGGTCAGCACTAACGAGGGGTCAGAAGAAAATCCATCGAGCTAGAGGGCAGGCTGGTCTGGCATCGGGGTGGAGGGACCAGTGAGTCTGGTTAGAGAACACAGTAGGGCTGACAGAATATCCAAGGAGGCTCCCCGCCCCCCGGAGGGGCTCAGTTTGCACTGGAAAGGTGCTGTTGCAGCCACTGGTGTCAGAAGCACTGGTTCTCCGGGGCCAGAGCTGGTCTGCAGCCCCTGGGCCATCGGGAGGCAGCTGTCCAAGGCACACAGGCCACAGCCGGACATACAGAGGGAGTGAGGGCTCTGGTGTCAGTGTCGGGAGGACCACAGCGTCAGAAGGGCCACAGGACACAAAAGTCCAAAGGGGAGGGTGGGCAGAGGGAGTGGGGGCTCCAGTGTGGACAGGAGGCCTACAGCTCATGAACTGTGTGGAGGGCGCTGGGTTATGGCCGTCACGGCGCCAGACCAGGTGGCCGAGGGACTGCACATTTCCAGCACGTCCTGGATGTCCTCACACCCTCACTGCAATCCTCCCCTCATCCTCCCCACACACACACCAACCACCACCAGCCTGAGCAGCAGCCAGAAGCCACAGTGGAAGCCAGCCTCCTCCTGCAATGCCCCTCTAGCATCCCTTACTGAGAAAGCTTAGCAGGCCCACCAAGCAGGGAAAATGCTCACAGGAACCAAGGCCATTGTCACAGAGCCCGCATGGAAGAGTAAACTTGGAGGAGAGGCCCTACATCGATACTGATCAGACCCAGGAGAAAAGAGGAAGTGGCTCACTCACTGAAACCGCTCAAGATAAAATTAATTACTTGAAATTTACAGAGTATGATACTGCATATATATTAGTTCTCTTTTATTTGAATATACTGCTCTATTCCTAGACTAGAGGCCTGGTGTACAAAATGCATGCAGTGGGGGGGGGGACGAGGGGTCCCTCAGCCCGGCCTGCGCCCTCTCGCAGTCCGGGAGCCCTCGGGGGTCCCAGGACTCCTTGCTCCTTATCATCCACCTGCTTGCTGCTCCTTACCACTCGGCTCACTGCTCCTTAGGCTCCCACCACCGCAACTGCATTCGCCAGCTGTGAGCCCGGCTTCTGGGTGAGAGGCGCTCACCCTGTGTGAGCACACTGACCACCAGGGGGCAGTTCCTGCGTTGAGCGTCTGCCCCCTGGTGGTCAGTGCATGTCATAGTGACTGGTTGTTCCTGGTCGTTCAACCATTATGGTCAACTTGCATATTACCCTTTTATTATATAGGATACTAGGCCCTACATTTAGTGTCAGAAACGTATAAAAACAACATGTTAGAATGCTATCGTGGCTCATAGAATTTCTGAAAGAGAGGTTCTGAAATAATGCTCCCATATTAGTAGTACTTTGGTTCTGCTGGTCTAAGGCTGAAACTGGGTTTTCCCATAAGGAGTTCAACT